GCCTTAATTGTGCCGTGTCAGCCTCCCGACTACTTTAAATAGGCCCAGGCTTCGGAAGTGGGCCGAACGGAATGCCGAGCGGCTTCCGTGTTCCATCCTAAAACGCACGCGTCACTTCCTACGGGGCGTCGTGACACTTCCTCTGGTGCCACGCACCAGCTTGGAACGCAATCGGCGCCCACGGGACCCGCGGAGGATCTTACACCTGGGAAGGATACATCACCAGTGCCTTCCTGGGAAATCTCATCTGCAAACTGCATGCTTCCCCTGAGATGATGTGCACTGTCACATGTTCCAGGAGGCAAACCCTGAGTTAAGGGAGATATAATCATCTGCCCTTGGTGAAAATGGCCAGCATGAGAAGAATGGGGAGGAACAGAAAAATAATGTATGACAAGATAAAAAGCATACAATTATCTATAAGTATCTGTTTGTAGATTGTAGAATTGCGCCCTTACTAAACATTTTTAAATCTGTTTTTGTTGTCATTTTTAAGAGAAGGGTGAAGTTCCTTTTTAATTAAAGCAGCATACCATCCTAGAGTCCATATCTACAACGTAGATAAATGTCACAATGTGATACAAGTCATGCTAGGTTGAGACATATTAAAAAAATCTAAGGGTTGTGCTTTTATGCAGCATTCCGCAAAATCGCCCAGATCACTGATGTTCTACTAATGATTAGTATGCAATAGTGGCATGCATTTAAAAAGTAAAAATGATCTCTCATTAATTTCTCCATCACTGTGAAATTGCTTTACTTGTGATAGGTTTGCTGTTAAAGGACATTTGTTTTAAATAAGGTATCAACTTGTGTTAAAAATATAAACATGATCTAAGGTATTTTATTATTGAAAGCCCATTCAGACTATTAATTTTGCCAGCCCATTAATTTTGAATGGGTTGCCAAAGCATATATTTTAAGTCTGTACAATCTCTGTGCTAAAATAACTGCAATATACAGTCACTGCCGCTTTATTGGTTAGACCTATTCAACAGCTCATTAACACAAATAATATAATAAGCTAATCACATTGTAGTAACTCAATACATTTAGGCATGTAGACATGGTCAAGATGGTCTGCTGAAGTTCAAACCGAGCATCAGAATGGGGAAGAAAGGTGATTTAAGTGACTTTGAACATGGCATAGTTGTTGGTGCCAGACGGGCTGGTTTGAGTATTTCAGCAACTGCTGATCTACTGGGATTTTCATACACAACCACCTCTAGGGTTTACAGAGAATGGTCTGTAAAAGAGGTGAGAAGAGAATGGCCAGACTGGTTCAAGCTGACAGAAAGGCAACAGTAACTCAAATAACCACTCGCTACATCCGAGGTATGCAGAAGAGCATCTCTGAACACACAACACATTGAACCATGAAGCAGATAGGCTACAGCAGCAGAAGACCACACCAAGTGCCACTTCTGTCAGCTAACAACAGGAAACGCTACAACAGGAGGCTACAGTTTGCATGTGCTCCCCAAAATTGTAAAATAGAAGATTGGAAAAATGTTGCCTGGTCTAAAGGGTCTCGATTTCTGTTGCAACATTCGGATGGTCAGGTTAGAATTTGATGTAAACGACATGAAAGCATGGAGCCATCCTGTCTTGTATCAACAGTTCAGGCTGGTGGAATCTTCGCATCATGGATGTGCAGCCGACAAATCTGCAGCAACTGTGTGATGCTATCATGTCAGTATGAACCAAACTCTCTAAGGAATGTTTCCATCACCTTGTTGAATCAATGCCACGAAGAATTAAAGCAGTTCTGAAGACAAAAGGGGTCCAACCTAGTACTAGCAAGGTGTACCTAATGAAGTGGCCAGTGAGTGTATATATATATATTTATAAATTTGTTCTCATTTTTGTGCTATGGTTATGTTTTAGTTTGCTCAAATATTGGTATGAAACAGTCACATGTCCTCATCAAAGGACAATGAAAGATAATTTTCGATTGTTACCTTTTGCATCACGTTTCAATATTGCGTACTCCTTTTCATTATTTAGGACCTATTCACATTTGTCTGTTTTCATGCAGTAAAACGTAAGCAGTGGATGCATTGAAAGTAGAAATCCGATTATTTCCTATGTGGCTGGTTCATATCAATGCAATGCAGAAAAGTGAGAAAGGAGAACTATTTGGGTCAGTTCACATCTGTGCAACCCCACGCATGCTGCATGCGCATGGAACAGTGTGAATCCAGCGGTAACAGAAAAGATGTAGAGATATGATTCAAGGATGTGGCATTTGTATAAAAATAAATATTGAAGGGCACTATTTACATAACATATACGTGAATTGGCAAATTACACTCCAAATTATTTATTCAGCAAATGTCCTGGCTGTAAGAGTTACATTTCTCAGACAAATCACTGCCAACTATATATAGGGAATGAGTAAGTGGTGCTCAAAGTGATTAAGTGGACTTACTGGCCATAAACAAAAGGAGGGTGAGTAAAATGAATGCAAGAATCATGCTTCAATGATGATTAAGTGGCATTGATTTCATTCTGTGATTCATTGCTAGGACACTGCTGGAATGTTTTACTCACCAGCAAAATGATCTCTACCAATTTAAATGTCAGTGTGTTCATAAACATGCTTCTACTTTGTAAAAAGCTTTTTAGTTTGAAAATTTAAAGACATCGAAAAATAAGTGCATGGAGTTTTGTATATATTTTTGTATCTATTATGCTCACTAAACTCACTCATTCATGTTCGTTCTCTCTCTCTCTCTCTCTCTCTCTAATGTTGTGTGCAAAAGAAAGTACACCCTCTGATCTGATCATTATTATTATTAATAATATTATTATTATTGATGATCCTTAGTAGGTCTTAAAATTGTGTAAATACAACCTCAGGTGAACAACACGTGACATTTTACACTGTGTAATTTATTACTTTACAAACATTATGCCAAAATGGAGAAGCCATGTGTGAAAAACTAAGTACACCCTTACTGCTTACATAGGAATTATAAGGCTAAGTAGCAGCCAAGGGCTGCTATTCAAATGCCCGTGATTAATTGATCAACGGCAAGTGTGACAACCTCTATAGAAGCTGAATTTTTAGCTGTTCTATATTCTACAGTGAGGAAGATTATTCAAAAGTGGAAAACATTCAAGACAGTTGCCAGTCTTCCCAGAAGTGGACGTCCCAGCAAATTCACCCCAAGGTCAGGCTGTGCAATGCTCAGAGAAATTGCGAAAAACCCAAGAGTTACATCTCACACTCTACAGGCCTCATTTAGCATTTTCAATGTTAAAGTTCATGACCCTACAATTAGAAAAAGACTGAACAAATAAGGTTTGTTTGGCAGGGTTTCCAGAAGAAAGCCTCTTCTCTCTACATAGAAAGTGGCAGCATGTCTTAGTTTTGCAGAGTTGCAGCTGAACAAACCACAAGACTGGAACAATGTCCTTTGGACAGTCGCCACCAAAGTGGAGATGTTTGGCCATAATTCACAGCACCACATTTGGCGAAAACTCAAACACAGCATATCAGAGCAAACCCCTAATGCCAACTGGCAAGTACGGTGGTGGAGGGGTGATGATTTGGGCTTGTTTTGCAGCCACAGGACCTGGGCACCTTACAGTCATTGAGTCGACCATGAACTCTTTTGCATGCCAAAATATTCTAGAGTCAAATGTGAGGCCATCTGTCTGATAGGTAAAGTTTGGCTTAAATTGGGTCATGCAACAGGACAATGATCCCAAACACACTTGCAAATCTACAACAGAATGGCTGAAAAAGAGAAGATTTAAAGTGTTGCAATGGCCCAGTCAAAGTTAAGACCTCAACCAAACTTAAATGCTGTGGCGGGACCTTAAAAGAGTTGTACATAAACAAACGCCCGCAAACCTCAATGACCTGAAGCAGTATTGTAAAGAAGAGTGGGCCAAAATTCCTCCACAACAATGTGAGAGATTGATAAAGTCATATGATTAGTGCAAGTTATTATAAAACCAGGTTAAAGTAATGATTATTGCAAGTTATTATAAAACCAGATGAGCAGATGATTTTATTATGTCTTGATTCTTAAAACCATAGAATGCAAAGAGGTGTACCTTCTTCTTTTCTCTCTCTCTCTCTCTCTCTCTCTCTCTCTCTCTCTCAGCTGCAGAGCTAAATAGCTTAGCCTCAAAAGACAGACATAGTCCATATATCAGAGGGGTGGCTTATCCACCCCTCTCTACAGACTTTCAATTAGTGAGAGACAACCTGTGTGCCTAACCTAATGTTTTGCGACACTAGTGTCATGCTCTTTTGTATAATAGAGTTCATTTTTAAAATGTTAAAACTATATACAATAGTTTAATGGACATAAAGTTTTACAAATATTAATTTACCTTGTAACACTTATTACAAAATGTTCCTCATATTGTACCACTGGCATCATAACTTGCCTTTCATCTGCAGGTTACTAGTCTTTGTGTATTCTAGTTTCACCCCATTATTATGACCATAGTAAGCCTATCACTAACTATAAAATAACAGGTTGTGTGGGTACTTTCCTTCTACTTCTGACAGTTATACTTTTGGTGAAAAGCATGCGCGCCAATGTTCCACTTAGCATATGCAGAAATATATATGGCGTAACCACAGAATAGCTTAGGAAGTGAAAGTTATCTCAGTCCATGGGTAGCTGCACAATTTACTTAAGAGGTTCCTATGGTTGTCCACATTTTAAACATGTCTCTTTAACTTTCCATGGAGAACTACATGGTAATTTTCATTGAATCTTTCATGAGGGAAGAACATATAATACCATTCTGGGTCCCTTTCTGAAAATACTAGGTTCCTGGCTGTCATACTGATCCTCTACTAATTATTGAGTAATTCACCTAAAACATGTATGCAACTGTTTGAGAAAGGCTGGTAAATACTATGAATAATTATAGCTAGTGAATCCTGTAGAAAAAAAATTAATGTTGTTAAGATTGTTAAAATGTGACTTATTTTTTCTCTCTCATAGGACACACTCGTGTCTGAATCATCAGCTATGTCCATCCGGGGTCTCAAGAAGAAAAAGCAGCAGAAGACCTTTAAGGTTAAGGTTATAACAATGGAAGCTGAAACTGAATTCAGTTGTGAGGTTCGTTTTTAAAGTTGGTCTAGTTAATTAGACAAATATTGTTGGCCATTGAGGATACAGATATCCAGATATAAGTGTCCAAATAATATAACATAGATTAAAGTGTTGTAGCTCAGTTGGTAACCTTATGGCACATAGTTTAAGAAAACATGGCTTCTCTGTTACTCAGTACTCACATTCCAAATGTCCCAGATTCATTTACTTGGCAATAAATGTCCCAGAGGCATCTTCTCAGGATGAAGTTCTTGTCATTGGGTGGTATGAATGATGGCCAGTCACTATTAGTAGATTTTAGTAGCACGTGCATGAAGAATAGAAGGGAAGGAAGGTAAAGGTAGCAGAGGATACCTGTAAAACACAGTCCTTTGGTCATCTGCATAGTCTTTATGGGCATTACTTTTTTGGTCCCTCTCTCACAGGGCTTTACTGGCTGGACACTTAAACTTGAAAGTTGGCTCCTTGACAACTGAGGTTCCTGTGTATTCTGTTCTCAGTCTTAGAATTCAAGGCAGGACAGCAATGGGAAGCTCCTGTGTAGTTTCCCAACTAAAGTACTTAAGCCACCAATCAAGATTCATCTTTTTATGATATGACTACACTAGACTGAAAACTGGTTACTGCACTTTGGACAACCTCCTTTCTTATATATATACCTCCCAACTTTTTGAGTTGATAAAGAGGGACACCTTCCAGCACAATGTATTTAGGCAATGGATACTCCTTTTCCACACCCCCAGTTATGCAGTCCATTAAGAATTTATATATAAAATAATATTGGTTAAACCCAGAATTGTTGTTTTCCACCATCACTCTTACTTTATACTGGATCTTCAAAATAGCAAACAAGATAGTTAAGAGATAAGATAAAGGTTTTAATCACAATACCACTTTTTGTAGTTAAATTGAACATTCTCATAGATATCTATACATGAGGCCAAAAAGAGGGACAACATAGGAGGAAAGAGGGACAGAGGGATTTGGTTCCAGTGAGGGAGGGACAGTCCCTCCCAATGAGGGACAGATGGGAGATACTATGTAATAAGAATTTAAGTAAAGGACTGTTATGGCTATTGTTACCCCTCTCCTTGCATCAGTCCTTACATGCTTTTGCAACTTCCTCCAATGTAGAACCAAGCCGGGAAGTCATTGGGCTGTGTACATCCCCTGCTCTTGGATATGCATGTTACATCATATGAAAAAGAATGGGGAATTCCTGGCTCTGCTTTGGAGGCTGTTCTGACAACATGTCTTCACATGGCAATCTCTGCATAAGTGTAAGTATTTTTACACTGATGTAGTAAAAAGAGGCTTCAAGGTAAAGAGGTACAACAGCGGGGGGGTATATGAAGGTGAAAGGCCTTCATGACACATCCTCTAGGATTCCTTTATAGCACTATTAGAGGGCTTAGAAGTCTGATGGCTAAGTTTTCAATATATTCAAATGATCGTGATTAAAAGCTTTTAAAAATAAAACAACCAGATGGAATCATGCATGGTGAATTCAATTTACAAGACATGATAGTACAGCAGCAGTGAAATGTTTACATCCACAACCTTCTATGTCTAATACAGGTGTTTTCATAATCTAGTATAACCTGTTAGAACATGCAATGTTGTGTTGGTAAAGTAGCCCGGCCCTGAAGGCATGACAGGTTAGAGCACAAGTGAAAAGAGATAATGGTTCATATTACACTAATCGCTGTTTGCCACATTAATAGTATAGTGTCATGTCACAGGAAAAGCAAAATCTTAATAGTAACCTGTTTTGTAGGCATATTACACATGATCAGACTTGAACATTATGCCTCTCTATAGTATAATACAGTCATTTACACTGTGCTTCAGTATCTTTATGTGAATATCTTACTAATTAACTTTAGAACTGGCTGTGACGACACGGTGATGAGTTTATAAGTTAAATGTGTATTGGGGTTGAGTTATGTTTGAGTGCGTTATGCTGTGTGACCTGGTTATGGAAAGACTATCAGCACCATCCCTCGTTATTTCCCATTGTTCTCTGAGGGAGCTCAGAACAATGACATTCTGGCCAGGCTCCTGCTATGGCTGTCTGGAGTTCGTTAGCAGGTGGACACCTGTGGTGTTGTGAAGACACGATTTCTGGGGAGGGGGAGGGGGATGTGATGGGATTATAATCTGATCACTTTCTGTATAAAAGTTTGTGCAGTTTGTCAATAAAGGAGAGTTTGTTTACCCTACACTCAAGCCTTGGCTAGTGACTGGGAAACTGGGAGCTACAGATCAGCGGGTTCCAATATCTCCTCAGCAAGGAAGAAGACAGCGGCGGACATACTCATCCTGAGTACGGGGGTCCGTCACACTGGCTATAACCTTAATGTATATAAATATTAATTTGTAAAAGGAAATGTACTTTGCTGATAATTCAATGATAATGCATTACACGTGTTAGGCTTACATGTGTGCCTAACACATGTACTGCAACGCCCATAGAACACTGTGAATTCAGCCTAAATGTAAACATATTTTGGAAATATAAAAAGGGACAGTAACATTTTGTTAAAATACAATGTAAACTTGTTTCTTAAATAATGTCTGTAACTGCTAATATGACTCTTGCAGAAATTCCTGCTCTGAGGTCTTGTGGCCTGTTTAGTTGTTTCCTAATACATGAATTAGTTTAATACACAAAGATAAAACCCCTCAAAGAAGTATACTGTATAATACACCAAATACAGTAACCTCCCAGTTTTCCGGCACCCATGGGGATCTCCGCCCATGGAGAGAAAGTTCTCTCTCAGGTCCGCTCCTCCGCTCAGTGGACGGGTTCAATAGCCAGCCTGATTTTGGCTACTGTGAAATAGCCAATAGCAGGCTGGCTATTGCTCCCTGTTGTTTACATACAGCAACTGGCAAAAAAAAATCAAGGACATATTACGTCTTTGATTTTTTTTCTTGCCGGTTGCTTGAGAGTGGCAGTTGCTTGAATGCTGGATAATAGGGAGTTTACTGTAATGAGTGAGAAACAAGGAAAATGTAAAAACAAAATGGAAATCTCCTGCAAAATGACCTTAAATATGCCTTGTAATTATAAAATTTCCTGTTGGTCAAAAAATATATATATTTTTTTAATCATTTACATATACCTTATAAATAACAGTCAGGAATTAATAACACAGTTCTGTTAATGAGCGTTCTGCTTGCAGATGGACTGGAAAGGGAAAGACCTCTTCGATTCAGTGTGCAGACACTTGGCATTGAGAGAAACTTGGTTCTTTGGCCTACAGTTTGTGGCAAGTGGGACAGACACCTGGTTGAAACTGGAAAAAAAGGTAAGACTTTATCATAAAAAATCAGAAACATTACATTTGATTTTATTGTAGGGTTGGACGCATTAGTGAGTTGTACCATGCAGCCTTACCTGTTTGCAATTTCATTAAGCAGCCAAGCACTGCAGTCAGGGAACAAATCTAAAAGTAAATTTTTCGAAAAGTACTATTTCTGTGTTTGCAGATGACACCAAGTTATGTAGTGGAATACAGTCCTTACAGGATGTCTCCAACCTACAAGCAGATCTGAATGCTCTGTGTGATTGGGCATCTATTTGGCAAATGAGGTTTAATGTTGATAAATGTAAAGTTCTGCACTTGGGGAGTAAAACATACACTCTAGGGGGAGTATGTTTGGGGGATTCAATGGTGGAGAAAGATCTGGGTGTTCTGGTAGATCATAGACTGAATAATAGCATGCGATGTCAAGCTGTAGTTTCTAAAGCAGGCAAAATACTTTCTTGTATTATACCGGGTCTAGACTCCATAGATAGAGACATCATCCTGCCCCTGTACAAAGCATTAGTAAGACCTCATCTGGAATATGCAGTTCAGTCTTGGGCTTCAGTTCACAAAAAGGATGTTGTGGAACTGGAGAAAGTGCAGAGAAGGGCAACTAAACCCCTAAGAGGCATGTAGGAGCTCAGCTATGAGGAAAGATTAACTGCACTGAATTTGTTCTCTCTAGAGAAGAGGCAACTAGGGAGAACATGATCACCATTTATAAATACATAAATGGTCCATATAGTGAGCTTGGTGCCAGATCATTCCCCTTAAAGGAGAACTATGAGGTGAGTGCTTTTCACTCACCTCATAGTTCTAGCCGACCTGTGACAATGAGACTGTCACAGGCTGGCTCAGTAGATCGGGAGGTGAGCGAACACATACCGGCGTTCGCTCACCTCTCGATCCTGTCACGGCTCTCTGCCGTGACAGGGGAGGGGCTGGATTCCCCCCTCCCCGCTCCGATCTGCCAGCGCTGAGTGGCAGAACGGACGGGGGAGGGGGCGGGTACAGCTGGCTCTGCCTCTAGATAGGCAGAGCCAGCAGTCAGTCACGCAGCTGGGCGGATCCCGGCACAATTGTCGGGATCAGCTTCAGCTACAGCTCGCGGTATACTGAGCCTAGGGTGAGGGGAGGATGCTAGTTTGTGTCCTCCCGCTACCCTAAGGAGAACTATGGGGAAAAGCCTTAACCACATAGCTCTCCTTTAAGGTCACTGCAAAGGACAAGGGGGCAATCTTTGCGTCTGGAGAAAAGAGGTTTAACCTTTGCATACGGAAAGGATTCTTCACAGTTAGAGCTGTGAAAATGTGGAATAAACTCCTGCAGGAGCTAGTTCTAGCCAGCTCAGTTAATTGTTTAAAAACAAATCTGGATGTTTTCCTAAATGCACAGAATATTACTGGTATTGAGTTCTTATAGGTATATTAAGCAACATAGATTGTGGATCCAGAGAATATGCGATTGCCTTATGGGATCAGGAAGGATTTTTTCCCCTGTTGGAGCAAATTGAACCATGCTTTATAGGGTTTTTTTTGGCTTCCTCTGGATCAACAGTTGGTAATTGTGGGCATAGCGTTCTGTTTTTAGGTTTCTCTTCTTTTTCTCTTATCTCTGTAGCTTGAACTCGATGGACTTGTGTCTTTTTTCAACCTGACTAACTATGTAGAAAACCTGGTCTTAAACCATCTGAGCTGCTAACTCACTGCTAAATTTCAGGAACCTTCACAGTCTAGCTTCCACCTCCAACACTCCACAAAAACTAACAACTTATTAACTGCTAAAACCAATAGCTGCTATTTAGTAGTTACACTATTAGACCAAAACAGTGGACTCCAGAAAGAGCATTAGCATTTTGATGCAGTTTACTGGGTCTGTGCGTCTGTGGGGGGGATTATAAAGGGGGGGGGGTCAGATTGGAGGGGGTAATTAAATTTTCCCAAATTCACTTGGGAAAGTGAACTTATCCTTTAAGATTACATTTCTCAGTTTTAGGGATGCACAGATACTTTTCGATTACCAGTGCAGATACTTGGCATTTTCACGAGAACTACCAGGGTTGCAGCTGTTGCAGCTGGGACCTGGCTCTGGTGCTCCACCACTGTCCTGAAATCATTAGTCTGTATTGTTTTAGAAAAACTGTCACATGACAATAAACAAAAATGTATCAGTACTCGTACTTGTAAGTACTCGGCAAGTACCAGTACTCGTACTCGCAAAACTGGTATCTGTGCATCCCTTTATTTATATTTATAAAAACAAAATCATACATTAAAACAGAGATGTACAAATCCCAGGAGCTCCGTGTGCTCCTTACAAATGACAGCGGCCTCCTAATTTTTGAATTTTTCTCTAGTGTAGTCTTGGAGCTCAAAAGTATCGGTACATGTACTCGTACTTGTACCGAGTACTGTACTTGGTATCTGTGCAACCCTACTCAGTTTAGTGTCTCTTTACCATATTCTACACCCCTGAAACAAAATGAAAATAATATAGCTGTAGCATACTGTGCTATAGTGCATTTTTGGGAAACAGTGATCTTCAGGTTTAATCAGTAGGACAATAGAAATAGCAATGGTAATGTGTAAAGTAACTAAATAAATCAATCATAGCTCATCTTTTATGTCAATAATGCGGAAAAATCTGGTAAATATGAGATAATTGCATGTCATGCTTGTACTGCCTTACCAAATGGGCCCATTTGAGTTCAATTTCAGACCCATACAGAATGTTCCTGAATGATTGTGTTGTATGTCAGCCAATTACAGGATTTTCATTATTCATATACAAAGTCATCACTGTTAGATGTCTGGCATTTGCTGCTGCTTTTATGGTAGCTTATCACATCATTTGCATTTTGTGAACTTTGTACTGTGTCTTTGACTAGACACATATATTATCAGTCACTCATTTGCCTTTTATTGGTTGCTGAATTAAAAACCTGTTTATGGAAGAAACAAAAAATAAAAAATGTCCTCTGGTTACTAAAAGTGTTCTACTACATTTTCTGAAATTCTAAAAGTTGATGTTTTTGACCGTTTAGGTTATAGAGCTGTCTTTGGGGCAATACCAAACAATAATAATTTTTTTCTAGTTTTGGAAAGTTGGGAAAAGTAAGAATGTGTCAGTTTTTTTTTTTTTGCTTTTTGTGCCCCCATTGTGGAGATGAAAAAAATATTTTTAAACTAAAGGGAAATCCTGATATAACAGGTGTCATGTGTGATTTTCCTTCACTTTCTGTTCTGGTAACATCTTTACAGTTATCATTTCCTCCATTTTCTGTTCTGGTGACAATAGTTATTAAAACAGTGAATCTTACCAACAGGGATGCAGGAAGCAATAAATTAAGGTATCCAAGGTAGCCTCTACCTGGGAAACTCATTGTAGCAGCTTATTTGGGGCAGGAGTGTGTGGTGATTTGGTGACGGCGGGTCGGTCAGTGGTGGTTTCTGGTTAGGTTGCTCCAGCACAGGGTCGCAGCGGTCGCAATTGCGACGGGGCCAGCAACGCCTTGTTTGACCCGCGGCAGATACGCTCCTGGACGGGGCCCTGACGTTCCGCCTGCTGGGGGGTGGAGGGCCCCCCGAGATCATGCTGCTCCTTCCCTGCCGCTCTGCCACCAGCAGCATGTACGGGCTGCTGTGCAGCAGGACTGCAGAGGCTGTCACACTAGTCCCGTAGAATGTGCTGCAGGCACTGCTGTGTGAGGACCCTCTCCGCTTAGCCCCGCCCCCTGGCCGCCGAGACACGGAAGAGGGCCCTGCAGGAGAGGGAAGATAAGTCTGGAGTGGGAAGGGGGGCCCGTGGAAGGGGGGGGGAGATGCTGGTGGTATTCTGCATAGCTGACTTTTATTATAATGTATTGCTGGGACTTGTAGTCCTGCATAGCTGGTGGTATTTTGCATTGCTGTATGATGATTATACGGGCAATGTAGAATAGCACCAACTATGCAGGACTACAAGTCCCAGCAATGCATTATATTTCTAAGTAGGGATACACCCTGCCAATACTGGGCATTTTCACGAGTACTCATACCCGCGAAAATGCCCTGATACTAAATGCAGATGCCGGTGTTCTGTCGAGAACGCCGACGTAGTTGAATTTGCCGACTTCAGCATCTGCACTTGCGCACAGAACAATATTATCGAGGAAACAGGGATTTATTTACAAAGTATTTTGTTTAAATTGTTAATTGTGGCCGTTAATAATATTCCATCCCTCATTCACTGCCATCCATCATTTACTGCCATGGACGGCATATTATTAACGGTCACAATTAACCATTACAAACGAATACTTTGTAAATAAATGCCAGTTTCCTCGTTAATCCAATCTGTACGTAAGTGCAAATACTGGGTCAGTGTTCTCAACAGAACACTGGCACTAAAATTTTAAACAAGCGGCTGTCTGAGGTCCCACGCTTGCTGGGGACCTCGGCAGCCTTCCTGTTAACCATGCGGTGCCATGGTGGTGGGGGGTTGGGGGGGGGGCTCTTTATGGTTTCTTGCACCGAAGGTTCGAGTTACACCTCTGGCCAGAGCTACTGTGTCACATGGACCTCGGGTGTGGGATGTGACCTTCACAGGGACCAAACCTGGAACCAAGGAAGCAGCAGAGGCCTCATATATGTGAGTAAAGGCCCCTTGCCAAGCCTAGGTGTGAAGTTACAGAACCTGAGCGTGTTGTGGAGCTGGTGGGGCAAGCTGAGAGCTTTGGCTCACCACCCCTGCAAAGCTGTTGGCTTGGGCTTCCCTGACCGCCTACTGGCTTAAAAACCTGTCCATCAGTGGCCCTACTCACATGCAGGTTAAGGGAGGTGAAGGGTATAATATATAGGTGCTTGCAGAGACAGGATGGAAATAAGATATACAGGAGAGGAGTGAGGGTATAAAAGGGTAAAAGAAATCTCAAAATTCAACCTCCCCTACCTTGAATCTGGTGGTGCTCGTGGATTTACTAAAGGCATATAGACTATTCACTTTGTAAGGGAATTTGGACACTGAAACTTCTCTTAGCTTGGTGAATGTGGTGAAATCCCAATTTGCAAAGAATACCCAACCATGTGCAAGCTTTATCTCATTCACTACACTAAAAGGAACCTCCCCTGCAAAGTGCAATTTTTCTTGCAAAGTAAACAACCTATTTGCCTTTAGTAAATCAACCCTTGGGTCTGTGAACCAAGCTTTCCAATAACAGCTCGATTCACAACCATTACTGAGCGCACAGACTGCCCAATGCTTATTTATGCAATAATGTTTATAAACCGTATTGAAGAAATAGGCTACACCACTTTGTTATTCATAAACTTTCTGTTCCCGTCCCCAAATTATGCGCTGTCACCATGTCACAGGGCTTTGTATGGAGACTACAATTGGACATTTCAACACATATTACACACGCATGGTACACTGTTGTCAAACTCAGAACACCTGCTCTGAGATATAGCTGAAGTGCATGTAGACAGGAATTTGCTGCTGGAGATGAGCAGCACTGGGATGCAACATAGGATGAAAACAAAAGGTGAAACTTTTTATTTTAGTTAAAAACAAATTGCATGATACATGGTGGTTTAGCAAACTAAATGTTATTCAGTTAGGGTTTACATCTACTTATGGGCAAAGTACATCTGTAAACAGCCACATTGTTTCCCAATCCCTAGCAAAAAAAACCTATGCTTATGTCCAACTTTAGTGCTAGTTTAAATAAATCTAACTCTTCATCATTGTATGCTACATGTAGCCCTCATATATAATCAGACTTAATTTCCATTTTCACATGATTTTATGGGAATACTGCGTCTTTGGTACCATTTAGTCCAATCATACACTTAAAAAGCAATAACCCAATTTTACTTTATTTATACTTGCAGATTTTACAGCAGCATGTCCCCAAAGAAGATCCTGTTAGGTTTTGCTTTATGACTAAATTCTACCCTGAAAACGTGGCTGATGAACTTTTTCAAGAAGTAACCCAACATCTTTTCTTCCTTCAGGTAACCCGTCCCTTTAATTTTTTTTAGTGTTAACTGAAGCTAACATTTCTTTTAAAATGACAATTAATAATTAAAGATAAACTAAAGCAATTAGGGGGCAATTGTATTTGAAACAAAATAAATAAAATGTTACAGATGGAACAATGGAACAAAGTCCCTCAACAAGTGAAACAGAGTAAATAATTATTCACAGAAATATTTTGGTACTATAACAATTATGAAGCGTCAGAATCAAGCCAAAGTGAACATAGCCACACGCAGAAGCACCTTTTCCAAATGTTTGTTGAGTAAACCAAATTGTCATATTTCCATAGAGTGATCCAAGCTTGGGGCATAACAGCAGTCAGATATCTTTTTAGCTATCAATATCGTGTTAATTTGACACTTCTGCATCTAAAGTGAGAGTAGGTCTGCTCAATGTTATTGCTATAATTTTTTGGCAGCCATGCCTGTGAATTGTTGCAGCTTATGAACAGAGTTTTTCAACCCTTCATATCTCTTCCATTGGCGAACAACTGTGATGCCATTTCAAATATTTCTATTAAAGATTATAGAGAGCGTTCTAGTTAATTGGGTCCATGGGAATTACGCAGCTGGGCAATGCAACCATACTTGGAATAATTATGCCATTTCATTGTAGCTTCTAAAGCAAGCTAATGGAATATAAGGGTGTTTACCAGGCCATTAAACAATAGATATTGTATGATGAAGTAAAGTCATATCAGGAATAGAAATCAGAAGGGTGATGGTTGTAAGATAGTATTGGGTTTCATGGTAAGAGTACCATTTTTATGTAGTTTACAAATGTAGGAGAGGGATGGAGTCCTTCATCAGGGTTTTTTAGTTTTCCCAAAAGTGGAAGTAATTCAATTTATCAAATAATTGTACTGCATTAGTGATTCTAATTGTTGCATGAAAGAAGACCAAATTGTTCCATATAGAGGTAGTGATGAAAAAGAAGTCCTCTGGATTCAAATGTAGTTACAAAATCTTGCCAAATGTTGGCATTAAATTGAATATGTTCAGGAGTGTAACATGAAGGTTGGTATCAAATGAATAACTAACAGTTTAATCCTGAGAGCCCACATGTGGATCTGTGAGATCAGGGTTTCTTTTTATAATTTTTGCCAATGGTTTCATTGGAAGCACAGTTAAAGTCACGGATAGTGGGCATCCTTGTCTCCTACCCTGTGAATACATTTAAGTTAGAGTGCAGATCATGGGAGTTTAAACACCATTTCCACCTTTGGCAGATGTATTTAAAAAAAAATAATATGCCAGCAATGTACAGTACACCGAGTACACAAGAAGCAGGCATATCCAGTTGCTGTATATGAACACATAAACATACTTTTATTGTTAGCTGTCGTCTTCATCTCCTCATGGCTCCTTTTGAAATGGCCACCTCTACGCTCTGCAGGTCTAAATTACAGAATGCCGTGCACAGTGGGAACTACAGTGCTATGCTTCCCTTGTGCACAAGCTTCTCTGTGGAAACTGAGCTCTCTCTCTGAGCTCCATCTCTCCCTTCATTAATATTCATAGTGACAATGCCCCCTTGACAGTGCAGAGTTATCTTGAGAGGCAGAGCTGGTGTGCTATGATCTTGTTATGATGATTCACAGGGAGGGGGGTCAGCTGCTTTACAGCCTGTAAAAAACAATCTGTCCCCAGTGTCAGACTGAGTTTCCTGTGGATATAATTTTGAATTAGTAGGGCTCAGGCCCATTAAAAGGTCCATAAAAATTTTACAAAAGCCAGCAATGTGAGTCATGCACACATATACATTATCATCACTGAACCTCTACATTACCACAGTAAATGGTAATTACTTACAAAGGTGGAAATGGGCTTTAAGATAAGCCGAAAGGTTATAGAAATAAAATGCAGAGCCTGTATGAATTGACCAGAGATGATACACTTGGCCAACAAAGCAAACATATACAATAACAAACAATAAAGAATATCAATATGCTAGTGAAGCTAATAGCTATATTAATAGAATCTTCTGCTTATTGGCTCACTTGACCGTGTTCAGAATCTTTCTAATGTTAGAGGTTTGATAGAGTGGTATAGAACCCACTTGAATTATATGAAGTAAAGTGCACGTGTTCAATTTTTTGGTTACTATAGATATGAATAATTAGAATAGTAAATTTAGTGATGCTTCCCTGAAATATCTTAGTTAAGAAGTGATCTTGCTTAGAGGTAAGATGGGGTAAGGGGAATTTTGTTATTACATTTTACTTTTACATTTTTAAACATATGTTTAATATCTTTTTTGTGTGTGTTTAAAGAATAAAATACATTTATTACAGGGTACAATCCACCATGTTGTAGTAACATGCACACTTTGCTGCAACATATGCTAGTGCACCAAGCACTATTGTGTTGCAATGCCAATCATTTTGCATGGCACACCGATGTACACCCAAAATGCAGCAGCGTTGCAGTGCAAAAATGCATAATGTGTGTTGCGCTCTGCTGCAGCGTTGTTTTGAAAAAAAGCAGCAGGGCCTATTCTCTTCCTGTTCCTTCCTGGTCTCTAGTATTAGATGGACAACATTGTGCAATGTGGCAGAGTCCTGATTGGCTCACATTGCTGTTCTTCAATGTCAAGTGCCAGGCAGCATCCACACCCTAATTGTGAGTGGCAGCAACCACAATACAAGGCAGGTTGCCAGGGTCTATGCCAGGCTAACCATTGTACTCTGTGTGCCAGCCTAATGCAGTCCCAACCCTCTACCTACAGCTTGCAGATTATGACCTGTATGTTTGATGTTATCAACGGTGATTAGGGCAGCAAACATACCAGCCGTACGCAGGCTGGGCATGTGACTGTATATTAATGAAGAGTGGTGATCCACAGATATCTCAGATGGAGCATAACAAAGCAGACTATAGTATGTAGTCATATCTATGGTAATTTCTTCAAGTTTTCCTTACATTTTTCTGCTTAGTACCTAAAAAATAAAGGAAGATTTGGAATTTGTCTTATCTAAGCAGGATGCAGCATTTTTAAACTGACAATAATAAAGACACTTTTGATATTGAATATAGTACTGTAAGTACAATTTGTTATTTGCAGGCAGGAGATTCATGATGCTATTTGTGTGCAAATGTCTTTTCATCTTAAATCAGCTTGTGTTTTAGCTTATTGCTTCTTTTACTTTAAAGCGTGGCTTCATGGCATTATTTGCATTACCATTATTCTTAGGGAAGCAATAAAGCTTGCAGATTGAGACTTGTTCAGAATGGAAATGTGTCATTCTACTGCTGCAAGCGAAGGGCTTGCCCTGACACACAAGGACAGCATGAAACAAGCTAAGTTAGTCTTTAACACATGGTGCTACAAGAATTAAACATGGAAAAAGCTGAAAACTAGAATGTCTACATCATTAATATCAATAGTTTAACAAATAAGGAAAACTTCATTTTTTAAATCAATTTCAAAGTTCACTTTAAAACTATTATTTCTTTGAAATGAAGAAAAAAGCTTACATTTGAATTATCCTTCAATGAGTGAAAAGATAGGTACCTATTTCATTCAAAAATGTTAAGGGAATAATTGCATGTAATACCAAGGGATATTTTCTATAATGGTGCTCCAATTCACACGCTGGTGTTTGGATACTGATTCATTTCCATTTCCTGATTCAGCACCTACCAGAATTCCATGCTGCTTTTACTCTGCTGATTTTTCTCTGAAATCCAGTTATGCTGAGGCTGCATCCAATAAGTGATGTTGTGCAGGAACTGTACTACCTCAACTATAAGGGGCCTCTCACAATTCCCCGTTAACGTTAATGTGCACTTTGTATGCGTTGATGCATATTGCGGCGAGGGAGCACATTTACTTTGAATGGGCTCCTATTGCTCCTCCATGCATGAAAATACATTCCTGCAATTCTACTGAGCAATGCAGTGCACCACAATGCAAGTATATTCACATACATACATTGCAATTCACTGAGGGTCAGGTGCATTGGTTGATGCTGTATATGTACTTTAGTGATGCCATTCAGAATGAATTTCAATGCAAAAAGCACATATAGCAAAGCAGTGGCGTAACAACCGGGGGGGCAGCAGGGGCGCGGAAATCTTTTTGGGGTGCATACCCCGAAACTGGTACGGGAATCAGGGACGAATTTTCCACAAGGCCACCGAGGCCTGACCTCGGAGTGGCAAAGAGTAGAGGGGCGGGACAGCTGCCAGAGAAAAAAACCCCCCGCCCCCACCTCTGGCTGCCTCTTTCCCTGCCATGGTTTTCGGAGTTTCCCACTCTTCTGGGGGACCCGGGACCATGGCAAAGTTCAGGATGGAGATCGGGGAGCAGAGCAACATATAACAGCAGAAAAAGTACCAAAAGTTAAGTGGAGTCAAATAATCAAATTAAGTTGCAGGGCTGGGCAAGCCCCAAGCAAATGACCGAAGTCAGGTTTCACATGATTACTGTCCAGGATGTTGAGAGAGTCACAGAAACCTTTGCTCAAGTACTGTATCAGTACACTAAGCCTGACGTATTGGAATAAAAAAATACCAAAAAATATAACATATATTTGCACAGATATTTCGCAATGAAAGTAGATCTAAACCTAGTCACTAAAATCTCATATAGGTTTTACCATGTTATTTCAAAAGTTGCTTTTAATCTTTTTAAATCTGCAGTTTTTACAAAAACATACCTGGGGATCCTGCTATTAAAGTCCTTGTCAAACCTGTTACACAGAAACAAACAATCAATGTTTGTACTAGCTCTAGATATATCATATGTGTCTAGTGTGAAATGCTAAAGACACAGTTATAAATAACATGGTAAGTGTAAAATAAATTGATTTAGAAGTTACAGATCTGGAGAATTCTCTAACCGTCTAGATCTGGTTGCGCACACACAGTGTAATTACCTTTTAATGAAAGCATTTGCATTTATGGCTTTGCATTCATTCCCTTAAATGTTACTCTAACATGAGCTGCTAATGAGCCATAAAATGGAAGCTAATATTTGATGGTAAACTGAAAATATCATCTGTGCGTGTTAACTGCAGTCTAATTTAATGTGTCTAAAATCTAATGAATAATTGAGAATGTCTGCTTCACGCAGAGCCAATTACTCATCTGGAGACACTTTTACTGTTACTGTTCAACGTGTATTTCCATATTTGATCATAATGTATCATTTTAATTTCCTGTAAAATACACGTATGCTGAGTATTTAGGAACGTAATTAGAAGTTTGGATAAATTAGATGCAATCAGTGAATCAGAGATTAATAGGAGTTACCTGATCATTTACATAGCTAGTCAGGTTTAAAAAAAAATGTTTGAGTTCAACAAATAGAAAAATAAATATATAAATAAATTGGAAGACCTCTATAGACAGAAACTACAGCTGATCCAGAGAAAGGCAAAATCTAAACTATAAAGCATGATCCAATTTGCTCCAACAGGGGAACAAAAATCCTTACGGATCCCCTAAGGCAATCCGATGTTCCCTGGATTTAATAATCTCATGTTTTAAACTTTCATATATAAGAATGAATAGAAATTCTTTATGGACAATATTTGTGAAGGGGGCATCAATGACAAACCAGAAATTCAAAATGAATTTGCTTATCTCTTGAGATTGCACTTCATCGCTGATTTTCTGTACAGCGCTTTAGGAGAGAAATATTGAATTGAAATATTTAACTTGATCTGATAAATCTTGACTTCTGCTGAGGCACACAGATGGTAGGCCAGGCATCGGATGAATGTGCACCTGGCAAATCTGCAGAATTCACAGGATGCAATCATGTCAACATGGACCAGAATCTCAATGGAATGTTTGTGGCATGTGGAATCAATGCCATGAAGAAAAAAAGAACAAAAGGGAGGTCCTATCCAGTATTAGTATAGAGTTCCTAGTAATTTGCTTAGTGATTGTACGTTCTATAAATACACAATCGTCTATTGACCATAGGGGATGGGCAAAGCGCGTTCACCTGGGACAGGCAGCAAGGGATGTTTAGTATTTATTTTTGAATAATGTAGACCTGCCAGCAATGACATACAGACATACTAGAGAACCCTCAGAGGGGTACTGGATTTTTTACATTTTGTGGGTGTTGGAAGCACGGAGAAAGGGCTGTTATTTCTCTAAAACTGCAATAATTGTTAAGAAGACAATTTAGATGGGCATATGTCTCCCTGCAGGTCTTTAATATATGTGTTCACTTGCTAGGTTAAAAAGCAAATTCTGGATGAAGAAATAATTTGCTCTCCGGAGGCATCGGTTCTCTTGGCCTCCTATGCTGTCCAAGCTAAGGTGAGACCATAAAAAGAATACAACAATGCTAAATAATCTTACAAAGGTGTATTTCTTCCAGGAAATGCCATATTTAATCCTAATATATAAAGCATAATAAAAAAAGAGCTTGTGTGTAAGAATGTGGATTTTCAGGCATAAATATGAACTGTGCAGGCTTATTTATATAAAATATATATTTGCCCCTTCATTTATTTTGAATTTATTGCACACTAGAAATGCCTAGCACAGGGCTGTGCTGCTGTGTACAGTGACCAGATCGGTGACCAGATTTGCCTGGGAAAGTGGAATTACCCTTTAAGTCCATTTAAAACTACAGAGTGATAATGCTGCTGCATGATTTTACTGCAGAATGAACAGCATTTTACCCTGTTAAAGGAAATAGACAAGTATCAGGTCTACTGTTAGAATCAAAAGGTTATAAAATTATCCTACAGGGTGAATCGGGATAGCAAAAAATGCTGCGTTCATGATAGTGAGGGACTGCATGATATATGTAATAATTTTTTTTGCCCATAGTTATACTTAGACCTGCAGCGCTACCCCTTTAGAAGCCTGATTTTACTGAGTATTTTAAGGTCTTTTAATAATACAACACATTTTTTTTGTTTTTGCAGTATGGTGACTATAACCCTAACATACACCAGCCTGGATTTCTATCTCAAGATGAGCTGCTACCTCAACGAGTGTGTATTATGTTGTTGTTGTCACTGTGCAAATGATCTATAAAATAGTTTTAGTCTTCAGTTTCCAATAAAGTCTCTCTTTCTGTAGGTTCTGCAGCAATATCAGATGACAACAGAAATGTGGCAAGAAAAAATAACAGCCGTACATGCAGGTCACAGGGGAATTTCTAGGTATGATAAAATAGAGTAAGAAGGCTAAATTGAACCAGGAAGTGTTCTATTGTTAGATTTATTGCACATGATATTCGGCTGTATCCCTGTAAAATACAACATGCTTTAAATATTTAGTTGCTTCAGGGATATATAAGGAATGAGCTTCACACCTACATTCTGGATTCTGTGGTACAGAATAATCATTTAAGTACATTGTTTGTTTGTTTACTTGAATGGTAATGTAGCAGACATTTGCCAACACAAAAAGAGCAAAAGAAACATGAATATACCAAAAAGCTAAAATAATGAGATAATAGTACAAAACAAGCAAACAATAACTAAAGTATACCTAAACCTAAAAACAAAAATGTAAAATGTTTCACCTTATCAGTCCTTAGATGTGGTGGCTTGATGCGTTTTCATTTTTGACTCCCAGTATGTCTTCTGCAAGTACAGAAAGAATCCTTTTAATCCTGCTAGAAGTCTGGTGTTGATTTACTAAAAGGAAATAGGCTGTTCACTTTGCAAAACAATTTACACTTTGCAAAATAATTTCCTTTTAGCTTAGTGGATGTGGTGAAAAGTCACTTTGCAAAAAATATCCAATCAACTGCGAGGAAAACTAAAAAAAACAGTATATGATTGGATGATCAGAAGAGCTTTACCTCATTAAGCTATGGTAAAACTCCCTTGCAAACTGCAAATTCCCTTGCAAAGTAAACAACCTGTTTGCCTTTAGTAAATCAATCCCCTTGTGTCCTTGTAAGTTCCTATGCACTGAACTGAAATCTCAAACAATGTTTGGAGCTTTCTCAGCTTTCTTCTGTCAACTACAAAATGCATCATGCATGTAATAGAATTGAGGAGACGGGAACATTTTTGTAGTCCTCAGATACAGTGCAGTGAGTGATCAATGTCACCATAGGACAGGATGAATGTTACTGGTTGATCACCAGGTGAAAATAAAGTAAAAGGAAACTAATGCAGCCACCACATTGAAGAATGGTAATTACATTAAATTTTTGTTTTTGGGTTTAGATACTTTAACATAGTTCACATTTGGTTTGGGATTTCTCTGAATGCTTTACTAATCATAAAAAATAACAATGTCTTATTATGTTTAAGCATATTCTATATAATGTTCTATACAATGTTGTAGGGATGAAGCAGAGATGAACTATTTAAAAATTGCACAAGACTTGGATATGTATGGTGTGAACTATTTTCCAATTACGGTGAGTAATGCATGTTTTATGATTAAAACAAAACATACCCACAAGGGCGATATAAATTACTATGTCTTTAATTTGTTTAAAAGCTGTTTCAAGCTGACTTAAATAATATCTTCTCATCCAGACGTTGTCCTGTAATATATGTAATTAATTTACATAATGTTACTGCTATAAACCTGACCTATGTCGTTATTAACGCAAATTAGGGTAAATGACAATGTGGGTGTTACTGGTGTTGCAACCAGGTCAGACTATAGTGTTATAAAAAAGGAAAATGGAAATTTATCACAATCATCATCAAAATGTGAAGATTGTGTGAATTTTCTTAACCCCTTAAGGACCAAGGCCTTTTTTTTGTTTTTTGCTTACATTTTATAATCCACATTTTAGGCCTGAAAATTACTTAAAACCTTCAAACATTATATATTTTCTGAAAGCCAAGTCCCTGTACAATAAAATGGGGGCAGCTGCAAATTTTTATGTTGCACGAAATTAGCGCAACTTATTATCAAACCCAACCATTTACTGAAAACTGCACTAAAATTAAATTTAGTGCCCCAACGCACTATAGAAAACCCTTTTTTTGTAAAATATAAAAGTTGAGGTAACAACGAGTAAATAGATACCCAGCATGCCCAGGTTAAAAATTGTGTGCGTCCGTGAAACTGCGACAAAATTCAGTACCCCAAAAAGTCCATAGACTTAAAAGCCCCTACAGGTCATCAGTTTAGAGATATGCGTAAATACTGGCCCCAGAATGTTTGCTCTCACCCTGGCGTATGCGACGATACCCAGAAGTCATCAATTTCGTACGTAGGCGCACCCGATGCATGTTTACATAAAGACGCGCATGCTTGACTCTACAAAATGTTTAAAATTATTTTTACTTAATATAATTTTTAAACATTTTTTTTACTTTACTTGAATTGCTATCACATGTGATAGCATATTGGTGGTGGCAGGTACTATTTAAGGTGATACTGGGGGTCCAAAAGAGGGGCGTCCACTTTTCTGGCCAGTAGAAGCGATCTGGCGACAGCTCAGTCGGCAGAATCGCTTCTACTGTAAAGCCAGCCACCGTTTCTACACATATGAACAGAGTCCCGATGGCGAGTCTGTTTTACCCCTTAAGGACCCATGAGGGAATTATCCCGTCATGGGTCGTGAAGGGGTTAAAGAGGAACTTTACCCATATCTTGAAAATAACAACAAAGGCACCTTTAGTAATGACAATCTACAAAAACATACTTCTAGATAATTGCAGACTTTTTCTTCTTTGCATACCTTGCTTTCTTTTTCTCACCATTCTACTCAGTGTGGCCATTTTTACTAACGGCAGATGAATCTATCTCCCTTTACTTCCTGGAACTCTGGCACATGTGACTAGGACATGTGACCATGCACATCATCTCAGGGGAGGAAAATGCCTTTCCCTGAGATTATGTGAGATTACAGATGAGATTTCCCAGCAATGTATGATATCATACTTTGAATTCCAGTAATTCATGATCCATATCTCCTTGAAAGACCTGTGTACTTGGAAGAATAGAAGGCCAGCAGTAGTGTAGTGCATGACTTTATGAGTATGGTGCAACAGACTCTGACAGGTATTACAAATCTGATAGGAAAGAGGGCCACATAAGAGCTGGGACAGCACTCAGCACAACATGGTGTTGTAAACCCAGGGCTAGTAGGGGTTAAGCTTAAACATCACTTGTCACAGATTCTCAATTGGATTTTGGTCTGGGCTTTGACTGGGTCATTCTAAGACATTCATGTTCTTGATTTTAAAGCACTTGAGTGTAGCTTTATATGTTTCCGGTCATTGTCCTCCTAGTAAAAGGACCTCTTCCCTAATCTCAGGTGTTTGGAACACTGAAACAAGTTTTTCATCAAAAATTGTCTAGTGTTTTTGCTCCATCCACCTTTCTCTCCATCTTGGCCAGTTTTCTAGGTCTTTGCAATTAACAGCATCCCAACAACATGATGTTCCAACCACCATGGTTCACTGTGCTGTTTGTGTCCTCAGGGTGATTAGCAGTATTGGCTTTTCACTTATTATAGATTTTTGTTCCAAGGACAAAATGTTCCACTTTGGTCTTTTAAACAAACCTTTTCTACAAGTTTGCTCTGTGACTCATAATATTTTGGCATACTCCAAATGGGATTGGATATAGGTTCTTCAGCGGTGGCTATTTTCCTATCACTCTTTATAAAGCCCAGCTTTACAGTAATACCACAGATGGTTTAATCCTATCTTACCTCTGGTAAGATAGGATAATCCATCTTTGTATCTTAAGAGTTAGCAGTATCCTAGTGGTTGCTTCTCTGACTGATGTCCTCCTAATGTCCAGTTTCTGAGTTTTATTGGAAAACCTTCACTAGGCAAAGTAGTAGGTGAGCTACAGTATACTATTTTCATCTCTTAAAAATGTATTTAACCATCCTCCAGGCATGTTCAAAGTTATGGATAGTTTTTCTAGCTCAAACCTCTTTTTGGTAGCTACTTGGGCTTCATGATTCCATTTATTTAGGAATACAAATCTGGGGCCTTGAGAAAGTATTTATATGGAGATGGTATGACACCTTATTGAACACCTGGGGTTTTAGTTAATCTCTTAAAGAAGGTGATTAACCCCTTCGTGACGGGAGACGTACAGTGTACGTCCTGTCACTTTGTGCCTATATGACTGGCCACGTACACTGTACGTGACGAGTTATATCAGGCTTTGTAATGCCGGTATTTGCTGATTCTCAGCATTTAACAGTCATTCATTAATGTCTCAGTATTGAGGCATTAATTAATGAAATAATTAAGCTTTTTGTAAAATCTTCTTCCTTTCATTAATGAAAGAATGAAGCCGTTACATGCAAATAGAGGACCGCAATTTGCGATCCCTTTTTTGACAGCTCAAAATAGCAGAGAGGCAGCAGTGACTCACCTCACCTCTCTGCTATTTGTTTTGACAGCTCGAGAGCCCGATGTTTAGATACATTTCACTAATGTTCCACTTTGGTCTTTTAAACAAACCTTTTCTACAAGTTTGCTCTGTGACTCATAATATTTTGGCATACTCCAAATGGGATTGGATATAGGTTCTTCAGCGGTGGCTATTTTCCTATCACTCTTTATAAAGCCCAGCTTTACAGTAATACCACAGATGGTTTAATCCTATCTTACCTCTGGTAAGATAGGATAATCCATCTTTGTATCTTAAGAGTTAGCAGTATCCTAGTGGTTGCTTCTCTGACTGATGTCCTCCTAATGTCCAGTTTCTGAGTTTTATTGGAAAACCTTCACTAGGCAAAGAAGTAGGTGAGCTACAGTATACTATTTTGGGGCCTTGAGAAAGTATTTATATGGAGATGGTATGACACCTTATTGAACACCTGGGGTTTTAGTTAATCTCTTAAAGAAGGTGATTAACCCCTTCGTGACGGGAGACGTACAGTGTACGTCCTGTCACTTTGTGCCTATATGACTGGCCACGTACACTGTACGTGACGAGTTATATCAGGCTTTGTAATGCCGGTATTTGCTGATTCTCAGCATTTAACAGTCATTCATTAATGTCTCAGTATTGAGGCATTAATTAATGAAATAATTAAGCTTTTTGTAAAAGCTTCTTCCTTTCATTAATGAAAGAATGAAGCCGTTACATGCAAATAGAGGACCGCAATTTGCGATCCCGTATTTGACAGCTCAAAATAGCAGAGAGGCAGCAGTGACTCACCTCACCTCTCTGCTATTTGTTTTGACAGCTCGAGAGCCCGATGTTTAGATACATTTCACTGAAAGGATACAATGTATCTTTTTTGAGTGAAATGTATCATTTCTGATCGTCTAGGCACGATCAAAGAGCTTTTAGTGAGATCTGAATCTGACTAAAGTCAGGATCAGTCTCTAAGGTTATTATTAGCTGTTCCTAAGTTTGGATCAGCCTAATAGCCAAAAATAAAATAAAAAAGTTAATTTATCAAGCTGTCATAGTGATTGCTTGATATAAACTGACAAGAAAAAAAAAATTTTTATTATTTTATTTTTATTTTTTTTACAAAGTGTAAAAAAATTAAAATAAAGTGTAAAACAAAATTAGGAAAATATAAATTATATATAAATATATTTTTTATACTATAATTAATATAAAAAAATTCTAAAAAAAAAAAAAAATAATCAAAACTTGTGAAAAAAGTGTTTTCTTCTAGTTTTTTTCCTCATTTTTTTTTTTTTATTCAAACTAAGTGAGGGGTTAGGTACACATATGTGATATAATTATATAGCCCTATCTGTCCTCTAAAAAACAATATATAATATGTGTGGGTACATTTAGTAAGAAAGTATATTACTGCTGTGGAAGAATCACACAGCAAAAATGTAAAAAATGTGTCAGTCATTTATGAACAGAACCTGAAAACTAGCTCAGTCATGAAGGGGTTAATCAAGAGTGCAAGAATTTATTTATGGATTGCACTGCAAGGGGGTCAATACTTATGGTATATATATACACTGAGTGGCCAGATTATTATGGCCACCTGACGTTTGTAGGCAAATTAGCTATAATTAGCTATAAGTTCGCGCTGAAGAAGAAACAGCATCATCAACATCAATCCAACATCATTATTAAATCTGCGTAGTATTACATAACATCAAATGAAATGCATTCTAATTCCAGGTTGTATAATACAAAATAAGGAAAATTACAAGATGAAAACTTATGTAAAGCACAATCTAGACTACATTTTCTTATTTTAAAACTTTGCAATATGAATGTGCACCCTAGAACTGTAAGTTATAAGATAATTGTCACAATGTGAAATTAATATGTTAGCTCTGGAGATAACAAAAAAGAACAGTGTATATTAAACATATGCTTTCTTATGCATTTCCAGCTAGTTAAGAATGACTCGGATATCCTTCTTGGAGTGGATGCTAAGGGAATCCATATATATGGTAAAAATAACAAAATATCACCACTGGAATCATTTAAATGGGGTGACATCAGAAACATCTCATATGATGACAAGAAAGTGAGTTGACATGGATTGTGGGGACAGTACACTATTTTAGTGGTTTTCGTTATTTAGACTTGATAATCATACAAACCTTAATATATAATTTTAAGTCCTGCAATAGTCACAGTTGTGTTTCATTCTCATGAGAAGGAGTTTGCTTAATAGCGATGGTATGATAGTTACCTAAGTTACAAAAACATGACTATCATATTTCGCCTGTCGCAAACTCCAAAATGTATATTCCAGGACAGGAGGACAAAACCAAATCTTTTGAATACCTGTAGTCATTACTGCTGAGGATTCCTCCCAGCACCCTTCAGAAAGTCAGATCAGTTCCCTGAATTTTTGCTTACTATTTTTTTTGGTATCTTAAGTCGAGATATCATTGTACATTAAATAATAAGACAAATGAGCCAATGTTTTAATTTTACTTTGGAAAGCACATACACATTTGGGCAACATCTCCTTAATGGGAACCCCCAAGTCCTCTTAATATAACAATAATCAGTGGGGCAGGCTGGGTCCTCCATATGAGCATGACAGCAGGTCATTCTGGCTTAACTACATAGGCGTTTTTAATTTCATACTGCTGAACAGTTATTGACAATCACTTCATGTGCAATTTATTACAATCAATATGTTGCAAATAAAGTAATTGGCTACAAATGGTTACAGTGCTTAGCAGCATGAGATTAGTTCAACCTTAGGAATTAAGACATGTCATGAGCATAGCAGAAACAGTTTTTACATATTTGATTTTCTAAGACATTTTAGTGTGGACATGTTTTTTTTTGTTCCTTAGTAATATCGGAGAAAGCGTTTTTTTTTTTTTGCTTTTTGTGCTGGTGGCAATGGTCACAGGACACAGATACTTATAAAAAATCAGGCAGGGGGTTTTAACCATTCCTTTCTCCACTCCACACCAAAACAAGTTTTGACTTTAGATACACGTTAATAGTGGATAGAGAGAAAAGACTCTTTATTCTTCCTTTCTCTAAAAAAAAGTTTTATCATTGTCCGTGTTATTGCTGTTAGTCACACAGAAAGTAAGAGAAAATCTACTCAATAGGTACAAAAACAGTATATAGGCTGTGCTTTAGTGCCCGTTCACACTGGCCCGATGCGTTAATTGCACAGTTCCGTGAGATTAACACACCATACTGTGCATCAACAGTGTGGGAGGTACGTTGCGTTGCCATTCATTTGAATGGCATCCCAAATGCAGCTCCTGCAAGCAATGCTCTTGATCACACCACAACGAGTGATACCGCTATACCGTGCAATGCAGTGTGTTTAAAATGAGTAGTGCATGCATTGCGTTACTGTACGTTGTGGTGCAAGCGATCGCATCATGGGTGAGAGATGTGTTTTGGGTGCCATTCAAGTGAATGACAACACAACATACCTCCCACACTTAACACACAGAAGGTGCGATTAACGCATCAGACCAGAGTGAATGGGCCCTCAATTGAGAACTCCAGGAAAATGTCTAAATACAGAGTTTAAATACATGCATTTTTTTCTAACAGTTCTAGTCACTAGAGGGTGAAGAGTTTGGAGAAGGCAGGAGAAGAGAACAATCTAGGACAAAATGCTGATTTGCAAAAATTCTCCAATTCACCTCACTTTCCAGGTCAGCTATGTTGTCCTAGATTGTTCACTTCACCTGCCTCCGCCAAACTCTTCACCCTTTTGTGAACAACCCTTTACATTTTTTTATAAGTGATGTTACCCTTGATGTTAATTCATATCAACGCTTCTAAGCCATAGTACTAAATGAAACATGATCTGTTCTGTCATCTATTTTCACACCTTCTGTGTATCATTTTCAGTAGCCTTTCCAGTTGAATTTCAGCTATTTCGGTGGCATTGATGAACAAAATATTACAATATACATTATAACATCGTACATTTTTAGCACTGTCAATGGTATATCCCATGTGCATGTACATTTTGTCTTCGGTAATGGAATAGTTAATTGCATTGTGTATTGGAAATATTAAATCATATTTCTTTACAGTTAAAACTTATACCCATTGACAAAAAAGCCGAAGCTTTCAAGTTTTATTCTAAAGAGCACAAAGTCAATAAACTGGTAAGTAACTGTAATTACTGAAATCTCCAGGTGCTAAATAAAATAGGATAAAACTGACTGACTGAGTTCTTAATTAAGCTGTGCCCACTACTAATCCTGCACAAATCAATGAATATACTGTTTTGAAATAGACAGCTGGATGAACAAATTAGGAAGTGGATTAGGAGTTTTCAATGTCTAGCATGTGGAGTCGGCAGTAGTTTTATCAATTGCAAAATCCAGATACAGATCAAATGGAATGTTAGCTACGTTTAGTCATTATATTACTTAATAATCAACAATTTCTATGAACTTGTATTCTTTGTGTTTTTACACATTTCCTGAAAAGTAGCATCTTTAACATAGTAGTTCTAACCAGAAAGAATGCTTAATATAATCTTTTATTGTATATTGGACTTGAGCACAATTGTGTAATAACAAAGTCATTAAAGAAAATCTATTGTCATCTTTATTTTTTTAAATATTTATATAAACACATGAAATCTACAGTGTATTTTCAGTGAGTGTATGGTTTGAGTTTTTATTGCATTTTACATGCTTGGTATTCCTAATTAACATTATTGTGCCATAAATACAGTATTGTAGATTCTCCTAATGGTGGCTTTTTGTTCACTGGGATAATCTACTGCATTACTGGTCAACAACTGTTGAGAATGAGGGGTTAATTTACTAAAGGGAAACAGGTTGTTTAGTTGTACAAAAGAAATGTCTCTTAGTTTTGTGAATGAGTTGACTTCCATCATCCAATTATGTGCAGGAAAAATACATTTTTTTCCACCTTTTACTTGCACTTTATTGGATATTCTTGGCAAAGTGAATTTTCTCCAGGTTTACTATACCCAGTGTCCCAATATAGTTAATTAGGATCCAATTATGTTCTATCCTACCGTGAAAAGAAGGCCCATTAGAATGTTTTGTAGCTATCCAATGTCTGAAAATCCATCCAATCTGAGTTAGGGCTTATCTCTATTACTATTTTAAAAGACACAAAAGTAAGAGTGCAAAGGTACTCACAATGGTAGGTCAAATAACAGCTTGTATAGAAGATTTCAAAGAAATAGCAGTTTCAGGACAGCAATCAGCCTGTGTGCCACTGTGTTGTGGCGTCGTTGAGCATTTCCGGGGAACGCCTTCTGAAGAAGGGGGCGTGACCCCGGAAACGCGTCAACGACGCCACAACACAGGCGTTCTGAAGAAGGGGGCGTGGCCCGGAAATGCGTCAACGACGCCACAACACAGTGGCACACAGGCTGATTGCAGTCCTGAAACTGCTATTTCTTTGAAATCTTCTATACAAGCTGTTATTTGACCTACCATTGTGAGTACCTCTACACTCTTACTTTTGTGTCTTTTAAAATAAAAAATAATCTGCACTAGGTTGGACGCCCTTTGACCTTTTTGTATTCCAGTTCTACAGTTCCCCCCCGGGCTGAAGTGGGGCAGCACCCCTAGTAACTTTATATATACTAACACTCAAATACCAGGATCCGGTCATAGCGCTTTGACTATACTATATTTATCTCTATTACTAACCTTAGGACCTTGCTCTACCTTAATACATAGCAGAAACAGTCTAACTTTGATAGGTGGAATGGCATTCTCAGAATATATGTATGAAGAAACTTGATAACTGATATCTGTGCTACATAAGTCAGGATTTAAAATTGGTGAGATTTACATTTTGTTTCAAACTGCAGATTTTGCACCTGTGCATTGGAAACCATAATTTATTCTTGACAAAAAGAAAAGTAGATTCAACTGAGATTCAAGAGATGAAAGCTCAAGCTAAAGAAGAAAAAACAAGAAGGAAGGTATTGTTCCCGGAATGCAACTTTTATTTTAACTGATAGATTTATTATGAAAGAAAATCCTCAACACAAAAAGCAGGCAAATTGACATGCAGGATACATAGAACATTTACTAATGAGAACAGGACATTGAGAGGGTTATTCACAAAGCTGCCAAAGGCAGCCGAGTGAATAACCGAGCTGAAGTGAAGTGAGCCGAAACAACGTTCGGCTATTCACTTCTGGCTTGTGCGGCTGAAATCAGCCGTACATCGGCTGGCTTCGACTGCACTTTGGTCAGCCGAAAATGCTTTGCATGTTCGGCTGAGCCAAAGTGCAGAGGGACCTCGACTCGACATTTGGATCGGCTAAGCCGAAGCTCCAGCAGCTCACTCGCTGCTATTCCCCCTATTCACGTGGGGCCAAACGGCAGTGAGTGAATAGCCAAATGCCAGCGAGTGGCATTCAGCTTGGCTATTCTGCTCAGTACCTCCGTGGTAGTCGAGCCGAAGCATATGCCTTCGGCTTGGCTGAGCCGCTTTGTTGAACCGCCCGGCTGCCTGCAGGAGCTGTACGGGCTATAGTGAATGGAGGGAGCTGCGGCTGATCCTTCGGCTAGCTTTGTGAATAACCCTATTAGAGCTCAACTGGCTATTAAAGCCCAACTGTAGGCAAACATCTAAATATCCAGATGAAATACAAAGGATTTGTATTTTGTCCTTCCAGTTTCAAGGTTTATACAGCTCTGCAATAAAGCACAACCATGTTTGACAGGGCGTGGGACCTGATCTTTCTCTACTTTAGGTTAGTTTTCACTTACAGGTCTCCTTCCCACCTAGTAAATGGAAAGTGAAAAGAGAAGCAGCACTCTCTCTGTCACTATACTCCTTTCTCCTATCAGCATGCATTTTGGCAACTTGTGCGGCTTCTCCCCCCTCTTTTCTGAGCTCTGTTGTACATGGACTGCAAGTGTCTGATGCCAGGTCAAATCCAGGTACGCTTGCATATAAAAAAAATACATTTAATGGTGTGTTAATGAATATGGAGCTTCATTAATTTGTGTATTTTTATATCAGAATCGAGTGCAGCTTTAAGACTACTAGAAAATTCTATGGTGCGCCTCATTGGACAGTTAATTGGGGCTTGGGCGCTGGGTTGTTTAAATTTGGGACCACCACCACCAGATAGTAGCAATGCTAAAATGTAGGCGCATTGTACTGCAAGTACCTGTGTTGGTCTTCAGATGGCTCACTGGCTCTCTCTGTGTAGCCCCTAGAATCCAAGACCCTGGCTATTAATGGGGCTTGAACTCTGCCAATTATGAGATTAAAGGAGAACTATGGGGTCAGTGTTTTTCCCCATAGTTCTCCTTAGGGTAACGGGAGGACACAAACTAGCGTCCTCCCGTTACCCTACGCTCAGTATACCGCGAGCTACAGCTCGCGGTATACTGAGACGCCGCACCTGGAGCGGATCCCGACTTAGATGACGGGATCCGCCCAGCTGCGTGAGTGACAGCTGGCTCTGCCTACCTAGAGGCAGAGCCAGCTGTACCCGCCCCCTCCCCCGTCCGTTCCGCCAGTCAGCGCTGGCAGATCGGAGCGGGGAGAGGGGAATCCAGCCCCTCTCCCTGTCACGGCAGAGAGCCGTGACAGGATCGAGAGGTGAGGGAACCCGGTATGTTTTCCCTCACCTCCCGATCTACTGAGCCGACCTGTGACAGTCTCATTGTCACAGGTCGGCTTAGAACTATGAGGTGAGTGGAAATCACTCATGTCATAGAGAACTATGATGTGAGTGGAAATCACTCATGTCATAGTTCTCCTTTAAGGCAAGGGTAGGCCCACTTTGACATGGTATTTGCTTTAACATTGTGAAATACTATGGGGGTATTTATCAAAACTGAAGCAGCTGTGCATGGCAACCAATCAGCTTCTCTTATCAGTTTTTTTCAGCTAAGATTTGAAAATGAAAGAAAGAAGCTGGTTGGTTACCATGCACAGCTGCTCCAGATTTTGTCTGCTCCATTTTTTACAAATTCCCCCCCTGTGTGATTAGGTTGCCATGGACCAAGTGGAACCCATTTTAAAATCTGCCACTGGATCTTTCTTATCATTAATGAAATCCTATAATAAGAGGGACAAAAATAAAATATAGAACAATTGGGTTTCTGTATTCAAATGTCCTAAAATCATAACACTGATTATATCTGTTACAGTAAAAAAGGGATTTTCTTCCCTTTTTTTCTTCCAACAATTTCTGTTGCTCAACCAGATCTAGAATTGGTGATAAAATATGTGTTGTAGCATCTTTCAAATAAGTCTTCAACATGATGAACTATTAATAGAATCTAGTTTATTAGAAGGAGCATCACAGACTGTTGATGGAGAAAGAATTAAGGGAAGAGGCAGAGAGAGCCAAAGAAGAACTTGAAAGGAGACTGTTCGAGTTGGAGGAAGAATCAAGACAAACCAACGAGGCTCTGGTGAGTGAGCAAATTTAACTATAGCTGAAGTGGAATTACCATGAGATGGGCCAAAAAATTATAACATTACGTGCTGCTGCACAACAACAGTAAAGATTTTGGGCCCATTCATTCTATCTATCTATCTATCTATCTATCTATCTATCTATCTATCTATCTATCTATCTATCTATCTGTCTGTCTGTCTGGCTGTCTGTCTGTCTGTCTGTCTATCTAACGCTACAAGACAAGTGTGATATAAAAAAAGTAAGAAATTATACACAAGATCAAATAGTATAAAATATATACTCTAGAACTGGATGAATGTTGTTCAGGAATCAATGTCTTTGCGTTAAACATTTTTAAGATCATTGACACTATAGCATGACATTGTTATCTTACAACTCTATCCACTTTGCTATGGTCTGTAGATTCTGTCTAATGAAGCTGCTGAGCTGTTAGCAGAAAAGGTTCAGATAGCAGAGGATGAAGCAAAGATACTTGCCCAGGAGGCAGTGGAGGCCAGATATGAGTTACAGCGCTTGGAGATGACAGTTTTAAAGAGTAAGGATGAGATGCGCATGATGGAGAAAAAGATGAGAGAGTCGGATCTTATAACCATGAAACTGCTGAAGGAATCTGACAGGAGGTGAGCTTAGGCTTTTTGTTTCAAATATCAACTGCAGCTTTACAATCAATGCAGCAATTTGCATAGTACAAAAGAAGTTGTATGTCTCTGGCAGTGTTCTACAGACAGATGAAAACGTTTAATTTCTCTGTTTGTTTAGCAGTTCCAAGACAGCCATTCTGGTGTAAATAGAAACGTTGGCCTTGTAGACATGTTGTTGATTTCCTAAAGGCAAATACAGTGGCAAGAAGTATGTGAAGCCCTTGGAATAAACTGGTTTTCTGCAGTGATTTCCCATAAAATTTGAACTGATCGTCATCTGAGTCACAACAATAGACAAACACAATGAGGGGAATTTATCAAAACTAGATCAAACAAAATCTAGAGCAGCTGTGCATGGAAACCAATCAGCATCCACCTTTCATTTTCAAAGCTTAACTGAACAAACTGAAGAGAGAGGCTGCTCCAGATTTTGTCTGCTCCCGTTTTGTTTTTTATTTTATTTAAGTTTTTATTAAGTTAAACAAATAAACAGAACATAAATCACATAAATATGTAATTGAAAGAGTATTGAACAATTTTTGAAAAAGGCATGTATGACATAAGGACACTCATGTCCAATAATATAAGAAAAATATTAGGGATTGGAACAAAAGGGAAGGAAGACAATTAGACAGGGGAATGACAAAGACAAACTCTGGTTATGGTATTCGAAATTATTCAAATTATCATAAAGTACATAGATGTTACCCATGAAATAAGTGAGAACTATAAGATGATAAGATGTATGGCATATTATGATACAATTTAAAAGTAAATGAAAATTAATTGGATCGATAAGTCTGCTCCAGTTTTGATGTTCTGCCTTGCACAAACTGCCTGTTCAAAGATTTTTATATGATAGACTCATGAACAGGAATGTTTGCCTGTTCCAGTGATGTCTCCAAGCCTTGAGCTGTTACTCGTGGGTTGTTCTTTACCTCATTGAGGATTCTGCATTGTGCCTCGAGAGTCACCTTGTCCGTGCACCAACCTCTAGTAAGAGTAGCCACAGTACTAAACTGTCTCCATTTCTAGACAATTTGTCTAATTGTCGACTGATGGATGCCTAAACACTTTGAGATTGCTTTGTATCCCTTTCCAGCCTTATGCAGGTCAACTACTCTAGATTGTATGTCTTCAGAGAGTTTCTTTTTGTGAGACATGGTTCACTACAGTTGATGCTTCTTATGAACAGCAATCTTAAAGTGTTTGAGTGTCTTTTATCAATCAAACTAGCTCTAAAACACACCTCCAAACTAATGTTATCATCTGGACTCCAGGTGTGCAAGCTACTGACTCCAAATAGCTTTCGTTAAAGTAATTAGTCTATGGGCTCATTTACTTTTTTCTCCAGCACTGCAAATGTTTTATGGGTGTGTTCAATAAAGACACGAGAAATCAGAATCGTTTGTGTGTTACTAGCTTAAGCACATTGAGCGGAATTGATCAAATCTGGAGCAGTTGTCCATGGCAGCCAATCTGCTTCTTCTGTCATTTTCAAAGCTAAACTGAACAGACCAAAGAGAGAAGCTGATTGGTTGCAATGGGCAACTGCTCCAGATTCTGTCTGCCCCAGTTTTGATCAATACCCCTCATTGTGTATGTCTATTGTTGTGACTTAGATGAGGATCAGAAAACCAGTTCATTCCAAGGTGTAATATTTCCTTGCGAAATTAACACAACACTTTTTAACTGTTAGTAAATCTACCCCTGGAAGCCCTGTAAATATTGTAATGCTTTTAGTGATTTCTTGCATTTGGCTGTAAGGCCTTCCATGGAGCCATTTATTTTAACATGACATTTACAATATCATCATTTATATTTTATTATTGTGAATCCCAATTCCTACCCCATAGTGGGGTCCCCCACCCTTGTCTATAGAAGCTAAGGTTTGTATACACTGCACTAATGATGGTCAAAAAGCCTGAATGCAGTTTGTAATAAATGGCTCTATAATAGGAAGCTATATTTTCACTATACAAATGCGGTACTGGATGTGCATATCGCCAGTTGGGTGTAAAATTATGATTTGTGTGTTTCCAGTGTCCTGAAATGAGTAATAATCCTTTTATGTTTGGGATATGAGATGAAATGAGATGTGTGAATATTTTCTTTATCGTTATACTGTATTATTATGAATGAAACAGTCAGTTGCCCATTCACCATCAAACATCCATTCGTCATCAGACCTTTTTGTCACAGTAATGTTTTTTTCTACTGATAGAGCTAAGGAAGCTGAACTCTTAGAGCAGGACCTTCACAAAGCAAGAGAAGCAGAACGACTTGCAAAGCAAAGGCTCTTAGAACGGGGTTCCTTTAGCCAAGTGAGTTGAAATGGTCATTCTTACTTAAATTACATGTGTCTTGAGAACACGTAAAACAAAATTGGATTGGTATATACTCTACTAGCTCTGCATACTTCTATCCATGTGAGAGCAATATATTATTTTATTAAAAGGTGTTTCAAATGAATACACTAGACCAGTGTGTTTTTTCTCTTATATCATATATATCTTAAAATGATCAAAACTATGATAGATCGATTATTATTAAATGTATGGCCAACATTAGACAAGCACAGGAAGATGCATGCCTTTATTTACTAAAGGCAAATAAGCTGTTCACTTTGCAATGGAATTAACACTTTGCAATGGAAATTTCCCTTAACTTGGTAAATGGGGTGAAATTTCACATTGCAAACAACACCCGATCACGTACACACACAAAAAAAACTATTTTTACTTGAACATGATTGGATGATGGAAGTCAGCAAAGCTTCACCTATATCACTAAACTAAAGGGGAAACTTACCCTGCAAAGTGCAAATTTCCTTACAAAGTGAACAGCCTTTTTTGCCTTTAGTAAATCAACCCCATGGCTTGTCAACCTCTCAAGAACTCTACTTGTACATATCTGTTTTGGGTGCTTTCAATGTATTTTTCTATCTTAGACACCAGCAAAAGTCCTTCAGCAAGATACTTCAGAAGGAGGGTATGATAATAAAATGTTATGGCAAAATTTAGACACGGAATATAAGAGGCTGTCCTTGGAGATTGAAAAAGAAAGGTATTGACCTCCTTCTTCCTTTCTAAAGTATGTGGAAACTATATCATATGAGAGGATACATTTTAAAATAATGGCATTTACTTGAAAAAGGCAGATATGTAAACACCCACAATTTCAATAGTTTCACATAAATGTTTTCACAAAATATGCTCTACAACAGGGCTCAAAATTTCCACTCGCCTGCTCGCATTTGGCGAGTAAAAATAAAGTGTGGGCGAGTGGAAATTTGAGTCTCCAAGTACCGGTCCTATGTGGGCCGCAGCCAGCTGACATGTAAGGCACACGGTCGCAGACCGCCTACCTGACTTGCGGGAGCAGCTCCACGGTCTGCATCTGTGTCGGATGCAGATCGCAGAGCAGCTCCTGTCAACTCCGGCTTCCTTCGGCCGGAGCTCTGACAGTTTTGAGCTCCAGCCGAAAGAAAGTAAGTATGTGAGGAGGATCGATGCCTGGTTATGTGGGGGTGATTAGTAAGGTCTGATGCAGACCTCACTAATCACCCCCACATAACCAGGCATCGATCCTGCTCACAGCCTCCTCTCCCTGCAAAGACATGGACAGGTGATGGGGGGGGGGGGAGCAACGATCGCAATGCTGAGCGGGCAGTGTGTCTTACGTCTTACGACCATGCCACCATCCCAACAAAAATCGTACGATTTTCGGCAGGTTTTCCAGCGTGCTACCTTACAGTAGAAGTGGTCACACGCTGCCCATACACCTGCCCATTATCGTACGATCGTGGGATGACCCACAACTATCGTACGATAATCGGCAGGGGTATGGCCACCTTTAGTGTATTTGTATATTAGGCCCCATTCACACCTACAGTATGTTTCAGGTGTGATTAGGGATTCCTGTGTCAGGAACTGAGGAAGCGTTTTCCTGCAGCAGGGATCCCTAATCTGCCGTTTACAAGCGGAAACTATCATAAGATAAGAATTATCATAAGATTATTTAAGAGGGTGTGTTTAGGGGCGGAGTTAAGGCCGGGGTGGGGTAATGGTTAATTGGGGCAACTGGTGGCTAGTAACTCTTAAGGCCTGGCTAGTACCTCAGGACTTGAAATTTTGAGCCTTGCTCTACAAATTAGGAATGCACAAATACCACGTATAGTACTTGGTACAAGTACAATAACAAATACTTTTCCAGCTTCTAGACTAGAGAAAAACTCAAACGTTAGGAGGCAACTGTCATTTTTAAGGAGAATTGGCTACGGGGGTCCTAAGATTTGTGCATCGCTGTTTTAATGTATGATTTGTTATATATTAGGGACTCAACAATGCCATTTTTCCAGAACAAGTATTGATACTTCTCCTCACAGATACCAATTACTGATACATTTATTTTCATGTGACAGTTTTTCTAAAACAATACAGACTAATGATTTCAGGACAGTGGTGGAGCACCTGGGCTCGGTCCCAGCTGCAACCGCTGCAACCCTGGTAGTTCTCATGAAAATGCCAAGTATCGGCACTGGTATCTGAACTGATATCTGTGCACCCCTAGTACAAATTATCAGCCTCTGGATACTGAAATGTAATTCTCACCTGCTTAGTTTATACTGAATGTATAGCATTTTGTATATATTTATTAGTTGTGTTCAGGCTAAATATCAAATGTTACATATATTTCCTTATACAGAAAAAATGAGATATTGCATTTATGAATACTTCATATTTGCCAACAAGTGGTATAATCAAGTTCACAGGCCACCGCATGAATTATTTGACCATGTTGCTGTAGATAGGCT